CCTCCTCCTCCTCCTCCTCCTCCTCGTCTGTCCGCCGACTTCCCTTTCCAGGGCTGACGTATGAGTCGAGACACTCCCCTGCCGTCTGCTATCGGGAGGGGCTCGGGGCAAGGGTTGGTCGTATGAGTGTGTGTGTGTGTGTGTGTGTGTGTGTGTGTGTTTACCTGTCCACGCCTATGATGGAAGGCCGTGTATGGCTTTGACTTTGTGCATGAGTCTATCTTGCCAGTCGGAGAGAGAGAGGGGGGGGGGGAGGCGGGCGCGCAAAAGCGATATAGGATGAGAGTGAGACGGACAGACGTCACACACAACCCGCGGACGGACGGACGGACACGGACGGCGCGGCGGGACGGGCGGCTGGCACATCTTAATGCGCACGCGAAAGCAAAGTCAATTGATCTGATCCCTCTGCGTGTGGGCGGGAGTGCGGCCGCGTAGAGGGAGAGGGGGGGGGGGGCTGTGCGGTGCGCCAGCCACGTAGCCTACATTAAGTGCAATGGCTCGTATCGTATTGCTGTCAACACGAGAGGGACCCGCCCAGCATAAGTAGATTGAGTCGGGACGCAAATTTTGATTCCTCCACTGCCATTGTTTCTCGCGGTTATGGGGAGAGGGGGGGCTGGGGGAGAATAATCCGCTGATGAAACTTTTGCACGTTGCCAGCCAATATGCAGATTTGTTTTAATGGTGTGGCGTGGTGGTGGTGGTGTGACTTTTGCAAAGTGACCGTCCGGCACCTTTCTTTTGACACAGTGCCAGGCGCGGGGGGCAGAGAGCGTTATTGAGATTTTATGGATGTGACTGACTGCTGCTGCACTGTGTGGTCGTGCAAATAGGACACTAATGGTGGCGCTGGAGTGGGAAGGTGGTGGAAAGGGGCGGGTGGAATGAGCGGGAAAAGGGAGCATTTCGAACGTGGAGACGACGGGCCTACGTGTGGGGATCAAATGACAGACAGGGGTGATAGATGGACGCAGCTCCGTACCGCCCCGCCCCGCCACACCCCACCCCGCGCCACGTCAGAGGTCGCCCCCTAGCCAAACCCTCATATTCTGATGCACGCCAGCACCTTACACACCCGCATTGCACAAGAGAGGGCAAAATAACGCCATCATAATAAAAAAAAATAAGGTAGCATTGGGGGTATCCGAACCGGCTTCCCGTATTCGTTTTCGTGTGCATATGGGAGAGACACTCCTTCAGGCGAGCGGGGCGACAGATTGCGATCGAGTTACTCCCTGCATCCGGACATTTCTACGTCATCCCATTAAGAGGCGACAGTTCGACATTCACGTTGGGATTGCGTTACAACACTGAGAAATGGAGAAGTAACCCCACCTATTTCCCCCCCCCCCCCTTCTTTTTCTCACTTTAAGAAGTGGTCAATTATAGTTGGTGTCCTGAAGTCACAGTAAGTTCAAACGCCGTCGATTATTTTTTTTCTCAAAACAGTTTTTCTCCTCTCTGAGCAGTTGAGTTACGAGAGCAGTCGCTTATGAAGACCATGCGTCACCGGTGAGGCACGGTCGCCCCCAGGTGACACAGCAGCTGCCGCGCTACGCGGGCCCGTCTCCGCCTAACTGCGCGCCGTACTCAGCGGCCCCGAGCAGGTGATCGCGCCTTGCCTGACCCGGCTGTTGTGTTGAAAGTACTTACCACAACTCCAACTCACTATTTTTTTTCGGGCGCCTATGCTGTGGTATGCGCTGCGTGAGGAGGAGGCGTTTCATATATATTTTTTTCCTCGCCGCTTTGGCAATTACGAAAAGTTGGCGGTAACTGCACGCGGATATGCAGCGGCAACGACGTTACCAACGCAACGTAGAGCCATTACGGTGCCATCCCGGGGCAGGCGGAGCAAGGCGGAGCAAGGCGGAGCACAGGTGTTCTGACGGACATAATGCGCCAGCCGGGTCAGTGCTGCCGCGTTCGTCATGGCCCGCGACCGAGCGGCCGCGTCCGAGAAGCACGTCCAGAGAGAGGAGAGAGAGAGAGAGAGAGAGAGAGAGAGAGAATGGGAAAGTGGCGAGCCGACAAGGCAAGAGGCAGGTCAAAAAGCCGCCGTTGCCGGCGCTCAGGTGGCGGCGCTCACATAAGTGTCGTCCTTATGGCCGCCAGGGCCGGGCCGCCGCCGCGCGTCGCACAGCGCCGTCCGAAATCGCGAAAGCTGCCGTCCGTTAGGAAGGCAGGCGGCGGCAAAAGGGGCGACCGGGGCCGGCATCTAGGAAGAGGCGTTAACTGCCCCTGGACCGCAGCCGTGCGAGCCGGCCCCCGGGGAGCGAGGGGGAGGAAAGGAGAGGGAGAGGGAGAGGGAGAGGGAGAGGGAGAGAGAGAGAGAGAGAGAGAGAGAGAGAGAGAGAGAGAGAGAGAGAGAGAGAGAGTAGCCTGCGGCGGTTGCGGCCGCGGGCTGGTGCGGGCCGGCGATAGGACGCCCAATGACCCGTGGAGGACCAGCAATAACTCGGCAGTGGGCTTGTTTATCAATTACTGTCAGGTAGGGTTCGTAGGGGAGAAGAAGAGCACGGCGCACTGCGAGGTGGCGGCGGTTATTTATTATTTACACTGGAGGCGGCGGCCGAGCCGCGCTGTGCCAGGCTGTCCTGCACGCATTGCGACACGTCGGCGATGACCTGGGCAGACTCCCGGTTGCGCGCGTCGACGGCGGCGGCCACGCAGCCGGCGTTGGTCAGCGGCACCTTGAAGACCAGGTCGCCGGTGACCTGGGCGCCGAGGCGCGTCGCTTCCGCGGCCAGCCCGGCGGCCTGCCCGGCGAGCGCGGGGATCTTAGTGCCCAGGCACCAGGGCTGCGCGAGCAGCGGCTGCTGCTGGCACTCCTGCGCCGCAGCGCCCGCCGCGTCGAACAACGCCTGCGCTCGCGGGCCCAGCGCGTCCAGCTGCTGCAGCGAGGCGCGCGCGCTCGCCGTCGCGTTCTGAACGCACTGGTTGACGTCCTCGTTCAGCGACTGGGCCACCTCCTCCAGCGTGCGGTACTGGGCCTGGCACGCCTTGAGCGACGAGTCGAATGCGTCCGCGCCGTCGATCACCTCCTAACGACAACACAAAGGTGCGTGAGCGGGGCGAGCAGAGACTGGGCAGTCACCGACCCAAACTGTAATCGTGACTCGAACGCACCTGCAGCCTGTTGTTCCACTCCTGCACGGCCTGGCTCGCCGAGTTCTGCGCGTCCTGCGCGGCCTTGTTGATGCCGTTGAGGAAGTCGTTGGTCGCCTTCTGGATCTGCTCGTTGATGGCCGTGAGGATGTTCTGGATGGCGCGGAGCACGCCCTGCAGGTCGAAGAACTGCCGGGCGAGCTCTCCCCGCTTCCGCTGCAGGGCGAGAAGGTCGACGCCCTCGACTCCCTCGTCCGGGGCCCAGTCTGCCTCCTTGTCGCCGAGGTCGAGGACGTTGTCGATGGGGATGGCGAGGGCCTGCACAGCCTGCGGGGAACCGGAAACGGGGTCAGATTTAGGACGACTAACACTGACAATACTGACCGTGGGTGGCAGAGTCGCTCGACACTCACCTGCAGCGCGCAGAGCACCAGGGCGAACACGATTAGCAGCTTCATGGCGGCGAGGACGACTGAATGCAGCACGAGCAGAGCGCGCGTCTTTATGGCGAGGTGATAACACAGTGTTACCGGGCGTGCAACCATAGAAACACTAGACCGAAATAAGCTGCGCCGATAAGGACCGAGGCAGGCGTCACTCGTTTTGTGGGAAAAATAAATAGTCCTAACCTTCACATTTTCTAGGTATGATACGGGCAAGCAAGCTTAACCCTTCCCAAGGACCGAAGCCCTTCACCTAGTTCAGACCTGACGTTATGAAGGAGACCTCCGAGAACTTAAAAGCGCGCAGAAACACATTCCGCCAAAAATTGACATACTAACCCACACTAGTAACACGTAAATTCAAACGTCCATCGGCTTCGTGCGACTTTTCTTTCCACGCATCGCAAGTCCTCTCGATGGCCACTCACTCGGCGCACAGCTCAGCCTCATGGCTCTGCCCTTGCTCCGGGGTGGCCGTTACTTTGGTGACTGAATGAATGGAAACCCACACCGCCACTCTGCATCCTGCACCGGCCATGTGGTTCGAGTGACCCTTTGCGGGAGGAAGTATCATGTTTTGACCGCTTCTGGTTCAGCGATCGGCGTTTTGAATGAAGTCGATGAGGGAGAGGTCCGCCTCTCTGGCCTCCGATGGGGAGAGTGTGGGGGGCGGCCGCCCTGGATGTCATGAGCTCTCACGAAGGGGGCGAGGCGAAACGCGCACACATGTGCACTTACAAAGTTGGATCATGACGGACTGACTGAGCCTCGAGGCATGGCAAAAGGCCTCGTGCCCGTGACGTGCTGACATTTCAGCTTGCATGCAGACCGCTGACTACCGCTGCCCAAAAGCGAATCATCTTCGATCCGTGGCATCATGTGGGCCCTTACACAAATGAAGAGTTTCAATTCGGGAATTCCAAAGTAATACGGTGGTCATTTCATTCTCATCGTTCACCAAGTATCGCGGCTAACTCCCCTTTCTCTTTGCACAGCCATTGATGGTGATCAAGTCATTCCCACGAAGCCACCGTGACGCTATGACACATTCTGCACACACTGCAGCCCCCGGGTCAGCGTACGAGTAACACCCATACCCGCCTCCCTCTCTCTCCCTCCAATGCAAGTTCAAAGGCGCGTTTGTCTCGCGAACGCGACCGTCCCCGGACTAGCTGGGGTGTTGCGCGAGAAAGGGTTGAAGAGGGAGATAGCAGAAGAATATTGACAGCTGAACAAAGCAAAGAGTGGGAAAAAAAATATATATGGATGGTTGAACGCGCTTCGATGTGCCCAGCGGGATCACATAAAATGAAAGATCAAATGCCATTTATAAGTAGTGTGTATCGAACCAATAAAGTAACACTTTTCCCGAGGAGGTAAAGCACTCCTGCGTTTGAGTTGTGACGGCGATAAGAAAAGAGTAAATTAGATTAAATAATACTCACCGAAGCAGAGTGACACTCGCGACTTAGTCATCTCTTTACTCTTATCTACATGCGCGTTTCCTCAGCTCAAATAAGCGGTCGGTGCGCACTTTTAACCTTAACACCGCTCGCTACCTCTCTCTCTCTTACTCACTCGAAGGTTTCAGTTCACTCCTGAAAAAAAAAAAGAAAAGCAGTGCAGGGCGCGAGCCGTGTGAAGAGGACAAAATGGGTGACCCCATCTGCTTTGATTTCCATCTCCATCCCCCGCGGACACTCAAAATTTATGACGCGGGCACCGCTATCCCTTTCTCGTTTTGCGTTGAGCCACACGCACGCACGCACACACACGCACACACACATGCGCTCGCGCAGACACATACGCTGCAGCCTTTTTTATGCGAGTCAAAAGCCGAGCCAGGCCGACCGACCGACGCGCAGATTGAGATGTCTTCTTTATGGAGGAGCAGGCCGCAAAAAGGGGTAATACACACACATTTCCTGGGTGTGCACTCGGTAGCGGTGGCGTGGCGGGGCGTGGCGAGGCGTGGCGAGGCGTGGCGAGCTCGTTGTGGGGGTTGAGCAGGAACAGACAGCCGGGCGAGAGGAGCAAGGCTTGGCTTTCAGATCTACTCGGTGTCATCCAGTTTACACAGAGATCAGCGCGAAGGTGCCGGGGCGGGAGACAAGGCCCCGAGGAGAGGGGAGAATGGAATGAGCAGAGAAGGGCGGGCGGAGGGGGGGGGGTAGGGGGCAATTGGCCCATAGGCTCATGGGTCGCGCTTCCAATCTCAGCCCGGGCACGGCGATTCGGCGCTCAAATTGACTGTCAAACTCAGACGACATTTCGCGTGCTAATCCCCGGGCTAAGACTCCCAGCCTGCAAATGAGGTCGGATAGGCTGGAAACACGGGACGGGGCGGCAGGCGCGGGGCTTGGCCGGGAGAGGGCCCCGCTGACACCACGCCCCGCCACGCCCCGCCACGCCCCGCCACGCCTTAATCTCATCCCGAGGTATTGATGACGAGGCAAACAATTTTGACAAATCTCTCGCAAAGTCGCAAAACCAAGGATGGGTGCCCGCAGCCAAAATCATACGAAAAACAGGTCCACAATAAAACCAATGAAGTCGAATCCTAGTAGGTAATAGTCCTGATTGAACTCACATTACATGTCCGCGCGTGGGAGTCATTTACTCCCACACCGCCCACCTAACGCAGTCACACAGAGAGGCACCCTGCCGCTGGCGTGATCAAAGGGTGTAACGCAGAGCACAGTCACATCAGAACAATAACATTTGGAGCCGCGCACCCCATCGGCCCCTCCCCACCCCTGGTGCCATGGAGCGTGCCGCGCGCGCCGCCGCCGGCGAAATGGCCCCGTCGCGCTGACATAAGATGACATGCGGGAGCAGGAAGGGGAGCGAGAGTGCAGGAGAGAGAGCGAGGGAGTGAGAGAGCTGGAGAGCAAGAGAGAGAGAGAGAGAGAGAGAGAGAGAGAGAGAGAGAGAGAGAGAGAGAGCTGGAGAGCAAGAGAGAGAGAGAAAAGGGGGGGGGGTGAGTGCATGTTGATATTACAGGAGTTACAATAACATTTCTACCGATTTAGAACTTTTCTCAACACTGCTTGTTGGTTTTTAAAAAAATGGCGAAACCTACCAAAAAGATCAGAAGAGCGAGAAAATGCAGCAGTAAGATGTCACATGATTAGCTGCGTAACTGATAGTCATCAACGGCGCGCTG